CTTCCTTCCTTCCTTCCTTCCTTCCTTCCTTCTTTCTTTCTTTCTTTCTTTCTTTCTTTCTTTCTTTCTTTCCTTTCTCTATGTAGCCTAGGCTGATCTTGAACTTGCTGCAATCTGCTTGCCTCTGCTTCTCATTTCCTAAGATTACTCGGTACGCACTGCCTCACCTGGCTCTGTCCTCTTGGACTCCTTTCTCTCCGCCCTTTCTTTACCTTTTGCTATGAATGAGTGCCTTAAATCAGGGATAGACAGAGACCACAGCCAAGTGTCCCAGAGGGTCTGGCATCTCCGGTGACTTCTTTTGCCCTGCCAGTTGTGTGAAGCCAGGTTGAGTAGAAAAGGCACCCTCTCTGCCTCGGAGTTCTCTGTTCTTTTCCTTCTCCTGGGTTCGAGAAAGTTTGACTGTGCAGCCCTGCCTGAGTTGTGCCTCCCCCACCCAACTCTAGGGGTCAAGAGGTGACAGTGATTACTTTGGGTCTTTTGGGGACAGTAGGACACTATCTGTATTTTGGGAGACTGTAAAGACCAAGTTTCTATACAGAGTGGGTCTTCCTCAGGCCTATGCAGAGGATCTTCAGACAGTGCTGCCTGGGCCCCTGGCTTCTCCCACCACTCTGGTTAACTGAATAAGCTTGGCGCCCCTGCTGTCTGTTTTGTTAAGTAAGGGAAACAGTCTCTAGCAGGTAGGTCATGATGGTTAGACACAATGGCACGAAGGAAGATCCAGAGCTGAGTGTGGTGGTCCATGCCATAATCTCAGCACCCAAAGAGGCTGAGGTAGGACTGTTGTCAGGCCGAGGCTAGCCTGAGCTCTATGGTAAGAACCAGACCAACATGGGTTACCTAGAAAGGCAGGTAGGGCCCAAGAATGAAAAGGGAAATGAAATAAAACAAGGCCTAAGCCCGGGTGTGGTGCCATGAGCTTTTTATTCCAGAACTTGGGAGGCAGAGGCGGGCAGATTTCTGTGAGTCTGAGGCCAAGCCTGGTCTACAAAGTAAGTTCAGGACAGCCAGGGGTCTGTTAAACAGAGAAGCCCTGTCTTGGAAAACCAAACCAAACCAAACCAAACCAAAACCAAGGCCTCGCAGGGGATCTTTATAGCCAAAGAAGACCAGAAACTTGCATACCGTCCCACCCCCCGCCACCCTCGCTAGCCTGGGATTCTTTCATGAGAGGGTCTGGCTGTTAGTATTTATTTTAAAATGGTGCCACACACACAACAGATATTATATGAAAGAGATTTATTGGGCGGAGGTGGAGAGATAGAGAGGAAAAGGAAAGAGAGAGACATGGTGGGAGTTCCCCAGGAAAGAAGCGAGGCGGAGACAGCAAGAGAGGAGAGTAAGAGAGAGGCAAAGTGTCGGGTTGGCTCTTTTATAGCTTGTGCTATAAATGAGTCTGCCACACACCAGGCGGGCGACACATGATGACATCATAGGTTACCAGGCAACCCGGAAGCAGACTGCCTACAGGCTAACATTGGCCTCAAGACTGTTGTGCTTGTCATCTTCCTGCCCTCCAGTTAGCATGAAGCATGGATTTGAATTGGGATGGCATCCTGGTGGGGCAGGACTGGCCATAGAGGTGAGAAAGCTGAGCTAGATGTGCCAATGGGCAGACACCTTAAAATCCCATAAGCCCAGCGTTAGGAGGCTAAGGCAGGAGGATGGAGGGTTAGAGGCCCGCCTGGAGAGATGGCTCAGAGCTTAAGAATACTTCACTTACTGCTCACCCCTTGGGAAGAGTTCAGCTCCTAGCACCCATGTCAGGTGCCTCTCTGCTACCCGTAACTCCAGCTCCTGTGGGTACAGCCTTCTCCAAGCATACTTGAGCTCGTGTGCACATACATACCCACAAGCACACTCAAAAAATAATAAAATAGGGCCTGGAGAGATGGCTCAGTGGTTAAGAACAACTCCCAGCACCCACACGGCAGCTCACAAGTGTCTGTAACTCCAGTTCCAGGTGGAACCTCACCAGTGCACATTAAATAAAATAAATTATAAAAATAATAAAATAGCCCCGGGCATGATGGTATGAATCTTTAATCCTGGCACTCAAGAAAGCGGAGGATCTCTGTGAGTCTGAGGGCAGCCTGGTATACAAAGAGTTCCAGGCAGCCAGGGCTCTGTTACACAGGGATATCCTGTTTGAAAAACAAAAAAATAATTAATTAATTAATTGTTACACAGAGAAATCCTGTCTTGAAAAACCAGAAGGAAGGAAAGGAAGGAGGGAGGGATAGGAGGAGGGAGAGAAAACAAGAGAGGTAGGGAGGAAGAGGAGGGAGGGGTGGAGGCAGAGATTAATAAATGACACCATTAAACCAAATGCCTCTTTGTTGGGATTCAGACCCTAAATTACTAGCTGCTTCCTATACCACTTTGACTGAGACCAGGATCCAGTTTCATAGCCCTGGGGGAATCCCAGATGTAGAAAGATACCTTGAATCAAGACACAGGGCTGGAGAGGACTCCAGGACTTGGGAGCACAATCAGACACCTCTAGTGTCTTTCAGGGTAGGCTGCGCATCAAGACTGGGAAGGCAGTGGGAAAGTGTGGCCTTCACCCTCCAAAGGGAAGCTGCCGCCTTCCTCTGCCTCCCACCAGGTAGATGTTCCTTGTGCTTCAGAGACAGAAAGGGAAGCACAGGGGCTACAGGACATACTCAGCAGAGGCTGCTGTTAGGACTGCCTGTGTCAAGTGCATCTTGGGAAATCACTGGTGCACTCAGGGCCCTGTGGAAGGCCGAGTAGAACTGGGAGTTGGGGAATTCACATTGGGCCCAAGGTGCCTCAAAGCTATGAGAAGAGCTAAGATTAAAGCAGTCAGAGCCCTCCCCCACACCCCCGGGCATGGTGCCACACACCTGTAATCAGAGGCAGAGGCTAGCTGTGAATTCGAGGCCAGCCTGGTCTGCAAATCGAGTCCAGGACAGCCAACGCCACAGAGAAACCCTGTCACAAACAAACAAATAAACAAAAAGCAGTCGGAGGGAAAGCTAGAGAGGGTCAGAAGTTCAAGGGTGAGGGGTCAGCTGTTGTGTCTGTCCCCATGTGGAAGGGCTTGTGGGGAGGAGCCCAGAGCACTGTGCGTGTGCTCAGTCAGGCTCCCCTCCAGATGGTGCTCTGCTCTTTTCTCAGGTTAGAGGAATGGTGGGAAGCAGTGCCCAGGAAGACGGCAAGGTACCAGTCAGAGCTATAGGAAGGGTCTGGAGGTGACCCTTAGCTGGGGACCCTCTGTGTAGGAAACAGAGAATGGGGGCAGCTAAGAGAGGCTCTCTAGGGTTGAAGGAACTCTGTACAAAGTTCACATGCAGATTAGTGACAGCCCCAGGAGGTGTCCTGAGTGCAATTGCCCTTCCATGGGACCAAAAGCCCCATGGGCAGGTCACATCAACAATTCTGTGGTCTCGGTGTGAGGCTGGGCCAGGGATTGTTCTGTGGGTGCAAGAGGAAGCACTGCAGAAAAGAGGAATTCACAAGCAAGTTACCTTTGAGCTCTTCAGCGCTCAGAGGAGTCTTTCTGCTCATGTCGGTTTGTTTTTCCAAGATTTTTTCCTTTGTACTTTTCCCCTTTTACTTTTTCTGGGTGCATAAGCTGGTGCTTACTCTCCCTCCACTGAGGCAGGTCTGAGAGTGGGGCTGCTTTAGGGGGATCATGTTTGTTTGAGACAGGGTCTCTCTTTGTAGCCCTGGCTGTCCTAGAACTCTTTTTGTAGACCAGGCTGGCCCTGAACTCAGAGATCTTCTCGTCTCTGCCTCAGAAGAGCCAGTATGCCTGACGGTTTTTGAGGCCATCTACCTGGCCTCCTGCCTCAGACCCAAATCCTAACTGATAGGTAGGGTGCCTGTTGAGCTTGTGTGAGTTGGGGTGTGTGGGTGGTGGTGGTGGAGAGTTCAACCTCTAAAGGAAAAACAGCTCTGCTTAACAGTTACATGGTGGGTGGTGGGCTGGAGAGATGGCTCAGCGGTTGAGAGCACTGGCTGTTCTTCTAGAGGACCTGAGTTCAATTCCCAGCATCTACCTGCCAGCTCACAATTGTCTTAGAGTTCCAGGTGATCCAAAGACACACATGCGGGCAAAACACCAGTGTACATAAAATAAAAATAAATCATTAGGAAAAACAACTGCCAGTCAGGCCCAGCATGGTAGTGTTAATCCCAAGATGGGAGAAGGACCACCAACCCATGGCCTAATCAATTAAAGCAAGTAATTAAGTAAAAAAAAAAAAAAAAAAAAAAAAAAAGTTACATGGTGGCATGCCAGGGTGAGTGGCCCACACCTTTAATCCCAGCCCTGAGGAGCTGAGGCGGGCACAATCTCTGAGTTTAAGGCCAGACTGTTCTGCAGAGCAAGTTTGAGGATGGCCAGAGCTACACAGGGAAAAAAACCCTGTCTTGAAAAACTAAACCAACCAAACAAACAAAAAAAGAAGGGAAAACAGAGAGGGCCAAGAAATCACCATTTAGATAGGACCTCCGTTACCAAGCCTGGCCACGGATAAAAACCAACCGTCAGCCTGGTTGGTGCCTTTGGGACTGGTTGTCTCTCTCTGCTCCAGTTAGAACACCTGACAGTCTTGGTGAGGGCGAGGTACTACCGAGGGAAGCCCTAAGCTTGAACGTCAGGACTCACCGGGGTTGGGAGATACTGTGAACGGGGCTAAAAGGGCTTCTACTGTGAGTGCCTGATGCTAGGCGCCACACTGGGGACAGGTGCGTTGTCAGCTTCCACTGTTTGTCAGGTAGGAAGTAGGGAGAGTTGGCATCTTGTCATCCTTCGGCAGGAAACTTGCAAAGCACAGGGAGCCTGACTTGAAGTTTACTAATCAAGATTTTCTTAGACTTGTTCTGGGAGGCGGCTACTGACCAGGCCATTGCCTCCTCTCTCCTACCCGTTAGCTGCAGACACGCCCACGTGACCCGCCCACTAGGCTAGCGCCCCGCCCCTCCCTCTCACCTGGTTTAGGACTGACTCCCGCGTTTTGTGTCTGCAGGCTGCTGAATCGGATGTCCTCGGAAGAGCGTCACCTGGGCTCCAGCTGCGGCTCCTTCATCAAGACGGAGCCATCCAGCCCGTCCTCGGGCATTGATGCCCTCAGCCACCACAGTCCCAGCGGCTCTTCGGACGCCAGCGGTGGCTTTGGCATGGCCCTGGGCACCCACGCCAACGGTCTGGACTCGCCACCGATGTTCGCGGGTGCCGGTCTGGGTGGCACCCCGTGCCGCAAGAGCTACGAGGACTGTGCTAGTGGCATCATGGAGGACTCGGCCATCAAGTGCGAGTACATGCTTAATGCCATCCCCAAGCGCCTGTGCCTCGTGTGCGGGGACATTGCCTCTGGCTACCACTATGGTGTGGCGTCCTGTGAAGCGTGCAAGGCGTTCTTCAAGAGAACCATCCAAGGTGAGTGGTGGGCCGCTCAAGACCCTGGGTTCAGGCCGTGGGTGGGTACCTTGGCCTGTAGGTCTAGCTTGGGTGATTTTCTTAAATTCAGGTTTAGGTTCTCTGGGGACAGAGGCCTGTGGTTTTCACTCGGGGATTCTCGACAAGGACTCTAATGGGAAGACTCGGATCTCTTGCCCCACTGTAGAAAAGGCCACAGGAATACCTAATCCCAGACAGCTCTTACCATGCTATACCATCAAATGCATGACCCCTCCTCCCTCCAAAAGCCTTTTTTGGGGTGTGTGTGTGGGGGGGGATGGAATATAGGTGTTACCCTACCCTTCCAGACCTAGCCCCTCTTTTTGTCTTTATCTTAATCACACAATGTAGAAGGGTAGGCCTGGCCTCACGTGAACCGGAGAACCGGAACCGACCGGGATCCTGGTGGCCTTAGGCTATTTTTCGATGCGTTTGCATATCGCTTGGGTCACATGCTGGCAGCCCTGGGGTAGTCACCTCTTTCATCTTGATGAAAGTTTTCAGGAGTCGCCGTGCAGGTGAGTGGAGGATAATGGTGGCTCAGCCCTCCCTGCGCAGTATTATTTATCGCCCAGAAGGACTTTCAGTGACTCCTGCTTGCGTCAGGCTTAGTGTAGAACACTTAACTTGCATCTGTCAGTTGAGAGACCTGTTGAACACCTGTTAAGCACCATCTATGCAGGTAACCGAAAGGGGCCTGTTTCCTCCCACCCGGACACACACTGCCAAACCCAGAGATACTGCCTGGTTTCTCCCTGGTCTGCTTCCTGACCCAGTGGCCCGCCTTTTGGCCTCAACGGTATTCTGTTCCACTGTTCTCCCTTGACCCCTTTGGAAGACGTTGGCCAAGCTTCCCTGGGGTGATCCTGTTTATTCAGCAAATTTTTATTTGTTAATCTCATCAGATACTGATCTGTTAGACCAATTGAGGGCATTAAAGGTTGGATATGTTTGCAGTCAGAGGCTGGGCTAACCCACCAGGCCCTTGGGTCAGACACTTGACCCATCCCTTCCCTGTGAGCTCAAACATGGTTCTTTTGGCCTTGTTCATGAGTTTTCTTTGTAGGTTTTATGTAGCCCTCTGTAACCAAGGCTGGTCTTGATCTACGGATCCTCATGCCTCAACTTCCCAAATTCCCAAGTGCTGAGACCACGCTGGAGAGATGGCTCAGCGGCTAAGAGCACTCCAGAGATCCCGAGTTCAATTCCCAGCAACCACCTGGTGACTCATGACCATCTACAGTGGGATCTGATGTCCTCTTCTGTCATACATGCAGATAGAACACCAAGTGTGGAGACTGTAGGCTTGCTCTAGTCCTACCACACCTAGTTTCCTTCCTTTCTTCCTTTTTTTTTTCCCCCTATACACTATTGGAAATTGAACCTAGGAACTGGTTGTGTAGGTGTGTGCTTATCAAGGCATACATGTAGAAATCAGAGGACAGCTTGCTCGAGTAGGCTCTCTCTTAACATGTGGTTCCCTGGGGGTTGTGGGGGAAACTCAGCTCATCAGTGTTTGCAATAAGTGTCTTTAGCTGCTGAGCCTCTTTGCTGACCCCTAGCTTAGTGTTCATTGCTATTTTCACTTTTAACAAATATCACTTACTATACACTTTTTTTTTTTTTGAGACAGGGTTTCTCTGTGTAGCCTTGGTTGTCCTGAAATTCATTCTGTAGACCAGGCTGGCCTCGAGCTCCGAGATTCGCCTGCCTCTGCCTCTCTAATGCTGGGATGAAAGGCCAACCCTGTCCAACCACTATGAACTTTTACTATGACGACAAGTGTAACTTGTTTGATCATATACCACAAAGTTTTTAATATGCATATATTTAAATAAACTAGTGTAATTATTTTGATCTAATCACATTTAGATTATAGAACTATTTGAGGGCCTCAGAGATTGCTTAGATAGGCCTGCCATCAAGTCTAACAACATTTCAATCCCTGAAACCTAACGTGAAGGATAACTTCTCCTCCACACAGGCACTACGGTACTCATCCCCATACACATGTACACAAAGTAGCTAAAATGCCATTAGCCTATTGTGGTCATGAATAATGTTTATTTGGCATTTTGTGACAGGGTCTTAACCTGACTTCACCCAACACTCCAGAGAGCCACCGGCCCCTGCTTCCTGAGTCACTGGCTGTGAATCATACTCTCTGCCACCTCCACCCCCAAGGGCTTCTTTATGTAGCCCCTGGATGTCCTGGAACTCTGTAGACCAGGCTGGCCTCAAACTCAGAGATCCTTGCCTGCCTCTGCCTCCTGATTGCTGGGATTTAGAGGCCTAAGCCACTACCACCTGGCATGAATAACACTTTTTCAAACCCTTAAAAAAAAAAAAAAGCTTTAAATTTTGATTTTAAAATTAGAACTTTGAAAGTGTTAAAGCAGTTTTTGTAAGCCCCGCCTCCTTGCTTCCCTTATGTCCCTTCGAATCCCGTTGGCAAGCCAGCCTGGAAATGTGCATTGAACATCTTGTATACCAATCTTAAGAGACAAACAGTGGGTGCCTGTAGGCCTGTCTTGCTTTGTAGTCCCCTTTTTGGAGCTGGGGTTGGAAACCAGGACCTGGCATACGGGGCATCTGCTGCTTTATACCCCTGCCCTTGGGTGGAAGGGACCTCTGGCTCTGTCTCTGTGAAATAGGTGCACAGCAGACGGTTCTCTTGCTCCAACCAGGGCATGGAACTTAGAGCTCAGCGAGAAAATGTTTGCCACTGTGTTTAAATCCACATTTGTTACTGAAGCCACGGGGTTTGTCTTCCTAAATCGGGAAGTGGCTTTGTGGGCTTGTTGTTTTAAACTTCTTAAAATCGTTTATTTTAAAAATGGGATTTTAGAAGACAAACGCATTCTCTGTGTTTAAACGGGGGCAGGAATGTTCTAGATTAGATTTTCTAGAAGCCGAGGCTGGTGTGTGTAGACCCAGAGCCTCTGCCACCCCCTCACCAGGTGGCTTGGAGTGTTCTTAGGGAAGATCTGTAAACAGTATTAATTATGCGCTACCATGAAAAGGATACAGATCTCTTCTGAGAAGTTGACTTCCTACTTCGGCCCTTTATCTCCTGGAGAGGTCTCAGCTCACTCAATACCTGGGAGAGAAGCCTCTCCAGAGCAGGGAAAAGCTAGCTTGAGGCCTGAAGTTGGCCGGATGCTCTCCTTATTAACTCTTTGCTTTCCTTGTAAGGAAGATTGCGATCATCTTGTAGCCCTGTGGCCCTAGCAGGCTACCTCTGTCCCTCGGGTGCTAGGATTGCAGGAATTCTCCACCATGGTTTTGTAATTCTCTGCCACGATTTCATAATTCTCCATGGTCTCATTGCTTCTCAAAGCAGCCAGGCAGTGAAAGAGTGAAGTAACTTCCGGTAGAGGTGCACACTGTGATACCAGCACTGTGGGAGGCAGAGGCAGGCGGGATCTCTGGGAGTTGAGGTCAGCCTGGCATTCAAATTGAGTTTAGGACAACAGAGGCCACACAAAACCTTGACTTGAAAAACCAACCAACCAACCAACCAACCAACCAACCAACCAACCAACCAAC